ACACTGCTTAGGGAGCAGTAGGTGGAGGAGTGAATTCTCCTCTCATCCACACCATGACTTCATCTGGAGTGCAGACAGTTGTGCTGCAGATGTCTATGGAAAAGGAAAATAGCATTTGCAAAGCTAAAGAATTGGGGGCCATAGCAACAGAATAGGGGCTCCTCTAACTTAACCACTTTACATAATCTATGGACACAGGTTTCTGCTGGCTAAAATTAGTCCTTGTGAAAACTTCCTGGGAAAAAAATAAACACAGCAGGGGAAAAAAAAATTACTTCATATAATAGTGTGCTGAATAAAAAAATTCTGCCCTGCAAAGAACCTGTGAGAAAGAATGACCCACTTATATATGTGGCCAAATATACTAGTGGAGGATTTTCCTCCAGTTGTGATCTTAAAAAAAAGCCCACGCTGCTATTCCTGCTCTGTAACATCTCGCAGATCCCTGTCTAACAGTGGGATCACTCCTTACAAGGCACTGTATATATACACACATGTCCACACATGAGTATATAAATCCTCTACACTCTATACAAAGAAAGACAGACACGTGTGTACACCCCACACACCTTCTAATGCTATCACGTCCCAAAACGAGCTTTTTGCATATTTTTTCATTGCTCCTGATGAGAAATTAAGACAGCAATGGCATAATCTTTCTTTCTGATGTTAGAATCTCCACTGTCCATTTCAGAGCAGCCAAGAACTGAATTAGCATGAATCATCACCCTTAGGTGGTACGTTTCCATTTTCGTATGCTTTGTGAATAGAAAATGGTAGTTTCTAAATCCATTCCCAGAAGTTACTTTCACATATTAAAGAAAGTCCCAAGTAATTCAGGATTAAAGAAAGAATACTCTAAAATTCAAACTAAACCACAAGTGTTTCATGTATAAACTTACTCTCCACTAAATTTAGGAGTTATTAGAAAACAATACAATAGGTCCAGCAATCACTGCACGAAGTTTGTTGTACTGTGTAACATCATCTCAACCTAGCATCATTTACAAGCCTCAGTACATAAAAATGAAATCAACCTGCTTTATTACCAAACAACTACAGTCAAATCTTAGCCCTTCAGGAATCCCAGGTATCTAAATGTGCATTGTTACTTCTGTGGGATTAGCGTAAAGCCTTACCTCGTCAAATCTTTATTAACCATATATCTGCTATATTTAACAAAACACATAAAATTGCTTTGCGAAGAAAACTTGCTAGAAAACGAGGTATCAACAGATTACAGCAGGGAATGACAGGATTTGAGTTTGTCCTCAAATGTCTTGCAGGCAGGCTTATTACATCAGCTTGCAACGTATATAAGGAAAGACAATTTCTCTGTGCTCCATCCTATACAGAAAGATTACACCAAGGTGGAACCCAGAACTGCTCAGTAAGGGATGTGTGGGAACGCAAAAGTGAATTAACAGTTGTACATCCAGCTGCAGAAAGAAACTGCTCTTACCCTTCACCTAATACTTACTGTTGGCTCCCACATCCTCAGCTACTCCAGAACCTCTCATTCTCAGGTATGTGAATCCCAGTATCAGAAAGAACAAGCATGCAGCAGTTAAGAGGAACATGGACAGGTAATGTGCACTGAAGCCTCCAGTGGTGGATACCTCCTCTCTTTTGAACTGTTGGAGAAGCTCCTCCTCGGGCTCTGAAAGATTCTTCTTGTAGGTGTTTTTCAGGTAGGTATGATTTGAACCCGTATGATTGGAGTGGTTGAGTCTAAGGGAGGAGGTGGTTCCACCCGGGGAAAGGCTATTACTAGCTGAATAGATCCTGGATTCAACATTATAGCTACCAGCAGCACCGCTGAGAACATGATTACTGGTCGCTTTCCTAATGGTGCCTGGAGGGTCAGTGATTTTACTGCTGTCCACGTCCGTGAGCGGTGGTGGCAGCAACAATACTGTAGGGGATTTCTTAGACAGGCCAATGCGGTATCTGGGGCTGGGAGGACTGGAGTCCAGATTTTCGCATCCTCCTCCTCCCCCCGCCGCCGCCTCCTCCTGATTTCTGCCCGTGTCTAGACTCCCAGCAGCAGCCGCCTCCGCCGCCGCCGCCGCCCTGTCATTCGTTACGACTACACCAGCACCACAGCCTCCGCCAGCCCTTTCTTGGCCCGTCTCCATCACGCCAGCGCCGGCTGCAGCGCATTTGCTTGTTATGAATGGAGCAGGAGACTTGCTGAGGCTCCGTCTGGGCCGGCGAACTGCAGACTCCTCCTTCGGTACCTGCTGCTTGGCCCTCGCCCCCGCCACCTCCTCCTCCTCCGAGTCCGAGTACTTGTCCCTGCTGCCGCCGTAGGAGAGAAGCCGATTACCGTTCACGGTCCGGTTCTTCCACCGCTGCTGCTCGCTTTCCTCCTCCTCCTCGTCGTCCTCCTCTTCGTCGTCCTCCTCTCCTCCTTCCTCGTCGCCGTCCCCGGGCTCCCTCACACCCTG